TGATGTGACTTTTAAGGTGGTCCTGGGCATGGCCCCCCTTCCTGCAGGTTACGCTAAAGGCTATAATTAAATCCCAAAACATCGGATTTAATTTAAGATATTGAGAAAGTTCCATAAAGATTATTCAGCAAATACTGATGAGCACTCACTAGTGGGCAATGGAGACACTAATAAACCTCTTGAGTGAGGACTTCCAGCTTCTTGTAAAGAGGACTGTGGACCCCTGACACCCCAGAGGCTTTGCTCAAGGTAAGGGGTAAGCATCTCCACCCCTATAACTGGTTACCCTGAAAAGCAGAGCCTGAGGTGAGGACTTGTGTACAGGCAGTCTGAGAGGTGATCCTGGGGAGCAGGAGTGAAAGACTAGGTGATCTGACAGGGAGGGAAGACCAAGATGAGATGAGTTATGAAGATCACTGCTGTAGGCCCCCTAGGAGTAGCACAGAGAACTGTCCACTGAGGCCCCGGGGACTGGGGAGTTATTAAGTGACCCCTGGCTCCCACTGTTTGAGGGTCGCCGCTGGAGCCCTGCACTTCTGGGCTGTGCTTTTGCTACTCCCAGTGGACTCTAGCCATGTGGTCTCCTGTGGTATCGGGGAAGTTCTGGGCATAAAGCAGAAAGCTGAGTGGCATGCTCTGAAATGACTGGCTGCCAAGGTGGGGTGGGTCTTAGCTCACGTGTGATCACGTCTGCTACAGCTACAGCTGAAATGAGAGGTTGGCACAAGGATGTGCACCGTCACCAGAGGGGTCTGCCACGCAGTATCAGTGTGATTTCTCCCCAGAGTCAATTGGAATACTCAAAGGAAAGCTAAGATGTAGGGCGTGGGGGTGTAAATGGAGCAGATTTACTCTATAGCTCTGTTTTCTTAAGCTGGCCCTGGCGGAAAAGAAGGAAAGAAGCTTGGGCAGAAGAGAATTATAGAGATGAGGCTGGAATCACCTCGTGAGGTCCTTTCATTTATTCTGCTGCCAAGCATCCATAGCAAATCCAGATGAGAATCTAGCTCATTGGTAACTCAGTCCACATGCAGGACTCAGGATGGAAGGATGTGGTGAACTAGGAAAGATAAGTCTCCTTCCATTTGGAAGATCCCAAAAGCCAGGAAATCTTTGGTCAAAGATTAATTTAGTGGGTTAAGAAAGGTCTTCTCTGATGAATGAAGAAGGCAGGGTCTTTATGCAATTAGTGCATAATAAAAGGTAATAATGACAAAGTCCACAGCTTCCCATACTTTGACATAGTGAATAGGGTAGGAGGTGGCATGTTAATTAAAATCTACATGTTCTTTTAGCAAATAGTGGCTTAAGAACTTGAAAAAAATCACAGAATTTCAAAGACTAAGTAGATAGGAAGGCATGCTAATAACAGCGCAGAATAAGCAAAAGTATTAAGGTACAGTCTTAAATTCCAATACTGAATGTTTCCAGAGCAGTAAGTCCGGTTCCTTTAGCTTGTTGATACTGGAAATTTTCAATAAATGTGAATGGAAATAAGCAAAAAATTGAAAGAAATAAAGTCTCAGAGGCAAATGAGACTTTGAAATTAAGTTTTCTTTTCTATAAAACAGGGATAATAATGACATTTCACAGCTTATTGGGAGGATTGAACGGCTGTGTGGGCAAGTGTTCTGTAAACCTCAAGGCATCATAAAACAGAATAATTAATCCAGGGTTTGGAATGTAGCTATTATTATTTAAACTGTTGAAATGAGAAACACTACTCTCCTCATTAAAGTGAGAGAGGGGAGAAAGTTCTATTGACCTTAATATTGTTGAGTGCAAAGAATTTTCAAGGAGCCAACAAAATTACCAATAGGATGGACATAAATTTGTGGGTGCCGTAAGGCAGGAAACATATGTTTGATCTCATCTTGGCATTATAGCATTGCTAACAACAACTATAAAATCCACATTTTTGTATTATTTTTGTTATTGTATCTAATAAACACAGCCCCATCCTGAGTGAAGCTTAGCAAGTGGCAGGAGGCATATCCTATATAATCCTATCGACTTATATTTCATTTCCTTTAGCTAGTTCTCATTACGTATGCTCTTCTTAGCTGTCTATGCTCATTTTCTCCGGGTAGCTTTATTTTTCTTGGAATCTGGTTCTTGCCTATATCTTTTGCTTAACTTAAAAGAATCTTTCAGATGTTTCAGAATCAGCCAGATGTTTTAAAATACAATTAAAGGTCTTGAGATGCAGTGTTGTGGATATTTCTGACATTGATTTCAAGTGTGTTTCCATCTCACTGAGTTTAATACAAGTGAATGTAGTTCTGACTTAATGGGTGATTCAAAGCTGAAAGTTTCCAGAAGATGGAAGGATACCACTGGCTTAGACAAAGTGGAGCTTTGTTTTAGCTTAATTTAAATATTTTGTCACTACCATTTCTTATCTGTATCTCTCCCACAGATTTAAGCAGTCTCTAAGATTTTTATTAATTCACTGTGGCTTTGGTTTTGCTCTCTGAGGATTCTCAGGTCTGGGACTGTTGTTAGTGGAGTTAGAAAATGGAAGAAGGCAAAGAAATATCAGCAGAGCCTTTCCTTATTACCAAATAGGTTACTGCTTCTTTTAGATAAGGCATGCATAGTTTGGGAAAGGCATACTTTGAGGTGAAGGATTATAGACAAATCAGCTAGCTGGTAGGCAAATCCATTGCCATCCAGGGTGTGGAGATCAGACTGCAATTTTATGTATTTACAGATAAAAGGAATTGTGATAATCATGGCCACCATTTCTTGAGTGCTTTCTACATGTCAGGTGTCCTGCAAAGTACATTTTAGATTTGTTAGCAGACTCTGGATTCAATCCCTTCTCTGCCATTTCCTGGTATGTGGTCTAGGCAAATTCTTTAACTTTGTGCAGGTTACTCCCCTTATTTAATGGAGTTCTCAGAAGAACCCTGGCACATTGCAATTGCTCTATTTGCCACTAAAATTAATTCTCATAACACGTCTATAAGGTAGGTACCATTACTCTTCCCCTTTTGCTGATGAGAAAATGGAGATTTTAAGATATTAAATAATCTACTTGAGGTTCCATAGATAGGAAGTAGAGAACCAAAATATAATCAGGGCAAGGAATCAGAACTGGATTATTAAGCACTCAGGCTAAGAGTTCATTACTGTTCACCTTCTCAGTGGAGAAAGTGTTTCCAATGATACTATGTCATTCGAGTCTCTTTCTTCTCAAGGAGAGTTCTCAGAAAAGCATTTGCTTTTAAAAAGGATGTCCCTTTTTTAAATGGCTTCATGGCTGATGCTCCCACTTGCCACGACTGGCATATCACTCACATTGCTCCCAAGTACCCTCTACTGTTGTGCTGTCCAACAGAACTTTCTGTGATGATGAAAATATTCTAGATCTGCTTTGTCTAATGCAGTGGTCACTATCCACATATCACTACTGATCACTTACAATGTGACTAGTGTAACTGAGGAATTTATTCTACATTTATTTCATTTTAATTAATTTAAATTTAAGTAGCCACATATGGCTAGTGGCTACTGCTTCAGACAGCACAGACCACAGGGGAAAAATGTATTTTAGGGAAAGAAAAATAGCATGAGGCAGTTGGTCATCACTGAAGGAGAAGCAAAAGGATCCATTCAGTCTTATTATGAGAACATCCTGTGTGAACCTCACTCAGCAACAAGGGTTTCCTGGATCAGCTAAATTATCCTGCTTATTTCCTTCTTAGTATTGAAGTTTCTGAGGGCAACAGATAAGCCCATTTGTTTGACCAGTAAAAAACTTAATAGAGAATTCTTGAAAGGTAAAATTCAAAGATAGTTTGTCCTGGTTCATAGCCTTTGGTTCAAAGCTCTTCCACCTAAGATTCCCTGAAGGCAAGGATAGCTCTCTGGTTGTCAGGAGAGGAGAATGAGGTCAGAAGGATTGAGGATTGAGGATTGAGAATAGTTTTGCAGATGGTAATCCGTGATTGAGTGTTCCAAACTGAACTACACCCAGGAACCATCACTCTTTCCTCTTTCTTGGCAAATAGGCGAAGTGTGCTTTGGTTTTGTTCAACCACAAGTTTATGAGCCAGAAGATATTGGTTAAAGCCTTCGCTTTATCCATCATTAGCTGGCTGACTTTAGACAAATCCTTTAACTTCACTGAGTTGCCTTTCCAAGGCTGTAAAATAGGGTGAAAGATAGTGGGCATCATAAAGAATACCTTCCTCAAAGGGTGCAAGTCAACAGCAAACGAGATAATGCATGTGGAACCACTTTATAAACCTGTAAAGGCTGTAGAAATGGCTGAGCAGTGATTATCATGTTTCTATAGATCACTTTTGCCCTTTAAAACTGCTTTCATATTTATTATGTCATTTTATCCTTACAACAGGTCCACGAGGGAGATAGAGATAGAGCAGGAATTATTATCCATGTTTTACCATCTGTTGATGGAGACAAATGAGGTCCACAGAAGCTGAGAGTCTGGCCTAAGGTTACACAGTGTGTCTGGCTGCATTATTCCTGAGCCCAACCCTGGACCTACTGAGTCCTATTCTGAAGCCCTCCCTTGCAAAAAAAATAACCAACAGCCACAATTTGGTATCTACAAGTTATGCGGCAGAAATTATTCCTGCTTAGTGAGCAAGCCACCCTACAACATGAGCCCAAAACTGAATAATCATGATATCAGTATAATGAAGGTGGGGAGCCACCCATGGTCCTAAGCATTTTATAAATATTCTGTTATTTGATCCTCAGTATAACTTTAGGAGGTTGTGTGATGATCAGTCCCAATGTACAGATGAGGAAATTGAGGCAGAAAATGGTTCAGGAATTTGTCCCTTGTTCACATTGCTAGTGAGTGCTAAGGAAGCCTGCAGGTATAGTTTGCTAAAACTGCTGTAATAAAACAAACACAAATTTGGTGGCTTAAATGACAGAAATCTATTGTGTCACCATTCTGGAGGCTAGAAGTCCAAAATCAAGGTGTTGACAGGGTTGGTTCTCTCTGAAATCTGAGAGGGAAGGATCTGTTCCTGGCCTCTCTCTTTGGCTTGCAGGTAACTTTTTCCTTGTCTCTCTTCACATGGTCTTTTCTCAATGACTTTCTGACTCTGAAATACAGTTTTCCCATTTGTATAAGGATACTGGTCATATGGAATTAGGAACCAACTTAATGACCTCATTTTAACTTGATTGCCTCTATGAAGACCCTGTCTCCACACGCTGAGATCCTGGGAGTTAGAACTTTAACACACTAATTTTTGGGAGGGAGGACACAATTACGCCCATAACACTGGATATAAACCCAGATTAATTGGCCTCACGCTGTTAAGCATTATGCTTTAATGATTCCCGACATTACAAAATCATACCATTCTGTACCCTTTTGAGAGAAACAAATGTCAAGACCTAGGACACAGTACTTGACCCCCAGATCCACTTTGAGTGCCCTGAACAGAAATCTGTCCTCTAAAAGTTCTTAAACTGGAAAGTACTCCCCAAAAATGTTTATCTAAGAGACTTGTTTCCAGCTTACTAGGCAATTTGGCATCGAGGACTTTTCTCATAAACATTTACAAATATTCTGCTCTGTAATGAAGTTAATCAGTAAACCACACAACCTCTGGCCTCTGTCACTCCTTACCTAGTCTCATTTTCAGTTGCTGTGAGTAAGCTAAGAATGGTAATGCAGTTTCAGGAGTTAGAAAATCCAGTTCAAATTAGACCTTGTCATAGCCCCATGTCGGCAGGATTTGCCATGGAAATGATGAGCGTGAAGCCTGCTAAAGGTAAGAGACTGTTCACAGGTGCTTGTGGTGGAGCTTCTGCCACGGGACTGAGGAACGTGGGGGACTTTTGCTTGAGATTACAGTTACAGATCTCTGTTAATGATGGCTCAAGCAGAACCAGAAGACTGGGGTGAGAAGTTGGGGTGGGGTGATTTTTATAGGGTTTCCATGCAGGTGAGTATCTCATTAAGATTAAATACAAGTGTGTTTTTCCTATACTTCTTCCCTGGGTATTACATAAAATTAACACCACTCTTCCAAGTTAAACATTAGGCAGTTCTAATATTAATGCTTGTGGACACTAGAAAAAAATTTACAGTACATCATTTAATGTGGTGTTTTTAAAATGGCAAGTTTCAAATCCCACTGGGTCATGAAGTCTATTTTGTGGCTTGTGACCAGCATTAGGAACTAGAATAGAATAGAATAGAGAAGTAGAATAGAATAGAAATATCAGAATGTATATCAAGAGGTAAGGGGTAGTGTTATTTCTTGGAAATTTTGCTTCAGTTACTTAGACACATGTATATAATTGTGTGCAGAGGTCATGATATGAGATGTATTTCAAACTATAAGTTGTGGTGAGAAACATTTTTTTTAAATCAAGAAAAACACTAATTTTCTGAACTAGTTTCACAGCAGATTCTCCCAATAGTCAATGGAAAATCAGGTGAGTAGAGTTCAGCTTTAAGCCTAGGCTGTTTGTCTTTGCTAAAGTAAAATACAGATTATAATTAAATACAGACAGTATAATAGAGTATTGACTGCTTTAAGATTTTTTTCGAAACCAAATCTTACCTTTTGAATTTCCAGCTAAAAGAAAAACTAATCATTTCTACAATAATTACAATTTGAAGGTATTTTTGGTTGTAGACTTGGCAGCATATTGTTTTGTTGAGATGTGATGTTTAAAAATGACTGATCAGCACTGTATTTAGAAATAGAAATTAGTGGGAAGGCTGGAGAAGTAAGTTTTCCATTATTTCAACTTAATAAACCTTTATTAAAGATTCACATTGTGTCAGGCTTGTGTAAGGTGCCAGGAATGAAGATAAAAAGGGAATGTAATATATAGTAATCTAGTGTAGTCCCCCAAAGAGTTCACAGACTAACCACAACAATAATGAAAACGTACTGAAGGTTTATGTGTATTCAGGCACTATTCCATTTACATTCCTTGTCTTAGTTTATTACAGCCTGTCACCTAGGTATTACATTCTGTTTCAATTACTATATTATCCCAGCTTTATAGAGAACAGACACTTAAAGAAGTTCAATGTCTTTCTCAAGTTCACACATCCAGCAAGTTGCAGATGAGCTGAATCCAGATTTGTCTATGCAGTAGGACTCTTGTAACGAGTGTGTCCTACCCCCTCAAATGGTATAGTGTGAAAGATAAGCCTGTAAACCAACAAAAATATTGGTACGTGCTTCTAAGTGCTGCAGTAGAAGTGTATACAGAGGGTAGATAAGGGAAACAGGGACATGCCTCACAGAGGAGGCAATGGGTTGAGAAGCCAGCCAGGGAGAAGCACCAACATTGCAAAGGCCTGGCACCACAAATGGCAAACAACTTCACAGACCAAGTTGTCTCATCTATTAAGAAACCATGGATTAGGAAATAAAGGAAGGCATAGAAGGCAATTTTTCCATTCATAAAACATTCAGCAAACATTCATGAAACATTTACTAGGGTCAGCTTTGTGACAGGGATGAAAAACTGGATATAATCTGAACCCTTTATCAGGCTCATCAGAAACTAACTATAGTTTGAAGGGAAAGTGCCGTCCTTGTTACATGAACCTGATTGTCCCATTTGGGTACATAGTGGTTCTGGTCACAAATACCTTAGAGCTGTGCTGTCTTAATGTGTCTAATATTAGCCACATATATCTGTTTGGTTTTAAATTTTAATTAAAGTTACATAAAATGAAAACTTTATTTCCTCATTATCATTGGTGTGGTTCAAATGTTCAATATTTCATATGGTTAAGTGGCTACCATATTGGAAGATATAGAACACTTCCACAGAAAGTTACCTTAAATGGTACTTTAGAGAAACTATTAAATGCTAGAGACTCTCTACCCAGAAGAATTTTGCTTCCATTTGCGGGGGATCTCAGACTCTCCCGGAGTCATTCAAGAGTTCCTGTTTGAGAATTCTTCCCTAAACTCTCATGGAGAATTTTCTGTTATAAAGAAATGCAAATTCTCTTATTTCTTGAAAAATATTCTGATTCATAAGAATCACTCATAAATTCAAATATATGTATTTTCCCTTTACAATGTATTAAAGTAGAACTAGGGGGGAAGGTATAGCTCAAGTGGTAGAGTGCATGCTTAGCATGCCCGAGGTCCTGGGTTCAATCCCCAGTACCTCCTCCAAACATAAATAAATGAATAAACCTAATTACCTCCCCCTCATAAAACAAACAAAGCAAAATGTGTGCTTTGGTACTGTTCCACAAATCTGTCTCATTCTTTAAAAAAAAAAAGTAGAACTAGGTTTACATTTTCAGAAGGTACACTCTAAAGTTTACCTCTGTCCCCTCCACATCTTATGCTCTGTCAGAAAATTCTGTATTTGTTTACTTGGTTTTATCCCAGCCCTTGACAAACCCTCACCCCTCCCCACCCCAAGCACACAAACAAGAAAAAGTCTGGGACCTCATCTGTCTGTTTTCTATCTGTCTTATTCACTGTTGTATCCTCAGAACCTAGCAGAGTATGGCAAATAGTAAGTGTTCAATATATATAAGTAAAACAAATATCCTATAACATCTCATCAAAACAGACTGGTATGTATTGATAGTTATTAAGTAACTATCAGTTAGTTATGATTAGAATCAAGATTTTGCTAGGTTCTTCAGGAAACAATCATGTCTTTTTATGGCACTCAACTTACCAAAACTTTTTCTCAACAACTGTATATTATACTCAGAACTACCTTATGAGATAGCAAGGCTGGGTGTTAGTAACCCCATTTTACAGAAGAAGCTGAAACTGAAAAATGTTAGGCAGTTGTTCAAGGTCTCACAGTCAGCTCAAGGTAGAAGTAATTCTAGTCCCACTATGCTGGTTTTTTAAATTGCAAGTTGCCTATATATTGTCTCTGTGGAGATTTGGTGGGGACACTATGAAATACTCAAAAGAGGATGTGCTTTGGGAACAGAGGCATTATTTAGTAATATTGTATACTGATCACGTATTCTTACCATGTTTTGTTGTTCTTATCTAGTAGAATTAATGTCTTTGTGAAAGCTTTCATTTTAATTGAGATGATTCCAGAGATTGATATGACACTGATAACATGATTTGACTTGATGTGGGATTCCATTGTATCTCTTGGTTTTTAAAAGATTTATTTCATTGAAATAATGCTCAAAGATCATAGAATTGTCACATAAGGAGAAAACAGTTGCACATTTCCTTAGATTCTGCAGAAGGTAGATTGTCATTAATTGATTATTTGACCTTAGGCATGTTACTTAACCTTATGGGACCTGTAAGTGGAGAGAATCTGGGGCTGGGGGTGGGGACAGGGAATTGAGTGAGGGATAAGATGGCTTAGAGGATAAAATCTAGTTGTAAGTGAAACTAATGCTCTAATGCCTTTAGTTCTTTTTAGTTGTATTCACTCCATGAATTTTAATCATATTTAGTTATTAAATCAGGATTTTGCTTATAGTTTATCTTTTATTTTTTCTGTAATAATTCCATATTTTTATATTCTTCCATTTTGTAGTCATAAGACTAAGCATCGTTGCCAGAACTTTTTGTCTGCCAGATATAATGACTCATTGCTGGTTTTATATGGATAAGTTGGGCATGAAAGAGAGGAAGGTGATTTTGCACAGATATTGGATATTTTGTGTTCCATCAATTATTTCCTGGATCAATGTAGAAAGCATTCTTTTCAATAAACATTTAATATACATATTTTCCACTTTGCCATTGTAGAAAGGCCCTGAATTTTAATGCCCATTAACTGTTAGTCATATACTTGTAGAGGTTTTAGATGTAAGGAAGATCTATAAGATCTTCCAGCAAGGAGTCTTCTCTTTACAGATGAGCAAAGGGAGAGTCAGGCAGGATAGTAAGTACCGTATCACTAGGTTCAGGGCCAAGATGCCTAGGAACCTGGGGTCAGAGAAGACTTCCCAAGAGAAGCTCTACCTAAAAGGAAATTTAGAGATAAGTGGAGAATAGTGAGATGGTACTCTCAGAGGAGATGGTTGTGTTGAGGAAGGTTCCAGACTCAGGAAGCAGCATGTGGGAAAGGTGCTGAGTCTGGAAGCAACAAAGCACATTCAAGGAATATGGAAATTAGAACTTAGGAAATGGCTGGAAAAGAAAGAAAAGGTAGGGTCATACAGAGTCTTGCAGTCCTAGTTATGGGTCACCTGCAAGCGGAGGCTTTGAAGAGACTAAAGAACTCAAGTACAGAGGGAGAAAGAGAAAAGGTTTTACTATCATGCTTTAAAGTATCACACAGCTGAAGTTATCACATGGGCTTTGAAGTCAGACCCAAAGTTCCTATCTCAGCTACTAGGTGGGTAGGAGTAAAGTTCCCTAACTTCTCTGTTCCTCAGATTAATCATTTGTAAGTGGGGATCATACTGTTACCCACCTCACAGGATTTTGTGAGACACAAATGACAAAGGATAGCACTTGTATATGTGCCTGTCCTTTATCCTTTTTTCCATAGGTTGTTGAATGTTTTCCATGTTGAATTTTTTTTAACATTCCTTTCGGTTTTCCTTTTTCTTTTAAACATTCCTGTTTGTCTTCCTTTTTTCCCCATGTTGAATGTTTTCTTATTGGTTTGCAAAAGCTCTCTACATATTAATGATATGAGTGTTTTGTATGTCCTCTATGTTGCAGCTATTTTTCTGAGCTTTTAATTTTATTATCTTTTTCATAGTTTTTTTTTACTATTAAAATGTTAATTTTTATTTGGTTAAATATTTCAGTCTTTTCTTAAAGCTCACACTCCTAACCATATGGTAAACTACCTCTTTTATTTATAGAATGATGCCATTAATTCCAGTTTTGTTGTCACTTTTGTTCAGGTGTGCTAACAGAACAAGCAACAGGTCCTCTGGGACAGAATCTAGAAGTGGAACCATACTCACAATACAACAATGTTCAATTTCCCCAAGTTCAACCACAGATTTCCTCATCTTCCTATTATTCCAACCTGGGTTTCTACCCCCAGCAGCCTGAAGAGTGGTACTCTCCTGGAATATATGAACTCAGGCGAATGCCCACTGAGACTCTCTACCAAGGAGAGACTGAGGTAGTGAGATTCCTGTAACAAAGAAGGCCCGACTGGGCGCATCAGCAGGAAGAATAAAAGGGGATGAGCTATGTGTGGTTTGTGGAGACAGAGCATCTGGATACCATTACAATGCACTGACCTGTGAGGGGTGCAAAGGTAAGCATCTTTGGATTGGTAGGTTTATCCTTAGTAAGGTTTTTCTATATTGGTTGCTGAAATCCCTCAAATTGGATTCTTCTCTTTTCCTAAATAACTTCCCATTTTCTCATCCTCTGCTCCTACTTCTTCCTATCTCTTTATTTTCTTGGGAATTCATAGATTTCTTGGAAAAGCTTTTTAGAGTATTTATCTTGGATATAAGTAACCTTTTTCCTATTCACAATCTCACACATAATTACAAGGAATTTATGATGTGGATTTTATTTTGGTTGTTTTTAAAAAACAGAAATTGTTGAACTCATGTCTTTTAAAATTAAGGTCAAGGAGATTAAGATTTTATTCAATAAATATTTTAAAATACATTTTAAATACTCTATCTAGTTAATTGAGAAAGAAAAGAGGAAGAAAAACAAAAGGAAACAAAAAAGGAAGTAATAATTATCTATATTCAACAAATACTTCACTTAGCAGGAAGATAGATCTGTGAGCAATGAATGCTGTAGGGAAATCAATGAAATTGCAGTCCATTTAGGGTG